AGGAGGAGGCGGAGGAGGAGGAGGAGGAGGAGGAGGAGGAGGAGGAGGAGGAGGAAGAAGAATAATACGAAAAATAATAAGAATAATAATAATAAGAAGCATAATAATAATAAGAAGAAGAATAAGCATAATAATAAGCATACTAAGAAGAATAATATTCAGAAGAATAAGGATGATAATAATAATAAGAAGAAGAAGAACAATAATAATAACCATAATACCAATAATGATAAGAATAATAAGACGAATAATAATACGAATAATAAGAATAATACTAATAATAAGAATAATAAACACAATAATAAGACTAATAATAAGACTAATTAGAATAATACTAATAAGAAGAAGAATAATAAGAAGAAGACGAAGACGAATCATAATCAGAAGAAGAAGAAGAAGCATAATACGAAGACTGATAATACTACTAATAAGAATAATGATAATAATAATACTAGTAATAATAAAAAATAAGAAGGATAAGGATCACAATAAGAAGAATAAGAATACTAATACTAATACCAATAATAATAATAAGAGTACTAATAATAATAATACTAAGACTAATAATAAGACGACGAATAAGACGAATCATACTAAGAATAATGATAATAATAATACGGAGAAGAGTAATACGAATAATAAGAATAATAAGAATAATAATAATAAGAATAATACTACGAAGAAGAATAGTAACAATAATCAGAAGAAGAATACGAAGAAGAAAACGAATAATAATAATAAGACCAATAAGAATAATAATAAGAATACTAATAATACTAATAATAAGAAGAAGAATAATAAGAAAAATAATAATAAGAAGAATACCAAGAATATTAATAATACTAGTAATAATAAGAAGAATAAGAAGAATAATAAGAATAATAATGCGAAGAAGAAGAATAATACTAATAATAATAAGAAGACGAAGCATAATAATAATGAGAATAAGAATAATAAAAAGAAGAAGAATAATAATAAGAATACGAAGAAGAATAATAATAAGAAGAAGACAACGAATAATAATACTAATAATAATAATAATACTAAAAATAATACTAATAATAATAATATCAATAATACTACTACTACTAATAATAATAATAATAAAAATAATAATAATACCAATAATAATAGTAATAATAATAAGATGAGGAGGAGGAGGAGGAGGAGGAGAAGGAGGAGGAGGAGGAGGCGGAGGCGGAGGCGGAGGCGGAGGCGGAGGCGGAGGCGGAGACGGAGGAAACGGAGGAGGAGGCGGCGGAGGCGGAGGCGGAGGCGGAGGCGGAGGCGGCGGAGGCAGAGGCGGCGGCGCGAAGGAGGCGGGATGCGGAGTCGGGAGCGGAGGGGAGGCGGAGGCGGAGGCGGAGGCGGAGGCGGAGGCGGAGGCGCGAGGCGGAGGCGGAGGCGGAGGCGGAGGCGGAGGAGGGCGGAGGCGGAGGCGGAGGCGGAGGCGGAGCGGAGGCGGAGCGCGAGGCGGAGGCTGGAGGAGGGAGGAGGAGGAGGAGGAGGAGGAGAGGAGGAGGAGGAGAGGAGGAGGAGGAGGCGGAGTGAGGAGGGGGAGGAGGAGGAGGAGGCGGAGGAGGAGGAGGAGGAGGACGAGGGAGGAGAGGAGGAGGAGGAGGAGGAGAGGGAGGAAGAGAGGGAGGAGAGGGAGGAGAGAGGAGAGAGGGAGAGAGAGGAGGAGAGGGAGGAGAGGGAGGCGAGGGAGGAGAGGGAGGAAAGGGAAAGAGAGGGAGGAGAGGGAGGAGAGTGAGGAGCGGGAGGGGGCAAGAGGGAGGAGAGGGAGGAGAGCGGAGGAGAGGAGGAGGGAGGAGGGAGGAGGAGGAGGAGGAGGAGGAGGAGGAGGAGGAGGAGGGAGGAGGGAGGAGGGAGGAGGGAGGGTGGGGTGTTGCTTCGCGAGCGCGACCGCGTTGTACAGTCAACCCGCATAGTAAGGATGGGCAGCCCTCGCAAGGGTGCCCTTGCATCCTTGCCCGTTCGGCCCATCCTTAGCGACTGCAGCTGGCCAGACTCGTTCGAAAAAAACGCTGACATGGCGCTCCAGGGCCCTTACTTCCTTGCCGCGCTTCCTTTCTATACGGGTTGACTGTATTTTGATAGGGGTTGTGGCTTCGGGGGCGCGAGCGTACTGAAATTTGTTACCTCGGAAACGTGAACGTTTACCTAATTCAGCAAGTAGGGACTGTAGCCTCGGGAACGCGACATTGTTCCAGTTTGCACGCGGACCGTTGTTCCAGGGAAGCGCACGCGTTGTAATTGATTGATTGTGGCTCCGGGAACGCGAACGCCTAGTACTTGACAAGGGGCTGTGGTTTCGGGAGCGCGAATTCTTTGTAATGTAGTAATGGTCGTGTCCTTATCTTCGTGAGAATCTGCTTACTAAGACTTGTGTTTTCGGGAGCGCGAGTGTTCCAGGACGCCCCAGAAGTATTGAGAACCCCCAGCGGTCGTGGTAATGGGGTCCTTTTTGACCAAGGGGGTCGCGCGGTCAGCCGCAACTTCCAGTTGGAACCAGAAGCCAGAAGCCCTACCAGACCATGGGAACACTTTGCACTGGTCCTCCTTGCCCCATCCACCTTTTTCTTCTCGTTCTTCCCATTTTCTATTTAGTCCCTGCATGCGGCGATGCCTTTTGCGTCCATTTGGATTTCGCCTCATCTTCATACTCCCTCTCCTTTGCCCCCCGACTGCCAGTTCTCCTCTTCTTGTGTATCGTCCCCCTCACGAGCTTCTCACCCCCTTGCCCCACGCTGCTGGTCCTCCTCGCCCTGCTCCCTACTCTCGTCTGTCCCCCTCCTCTCTCCTCCCTCCGTATCAACATCTCCTGAGGTGTGTCCAGTCACCGGTGTCGCTTTCATGGGCTCGCCACTCATCATGCTTCCTCTCCTCTTGCGCCTCCCATGTCCTCCCCCGTCCTCCTCCTGCCTCTTTCCGCACTCCTCTTTATGCCCCTCTATTCCTCCCCCGCTCCTTCTCGCCCTCCTCCTGCCCCTCCTTCGGCTAGGCCCTCCCCTCCTCCCTCCTCCTCTCCTGTTCATTGTCCTCGCCCTCCAGCTTGCGTGCACTGGGGCAACCGTGGAGAGTTTGAAAACCTCAAAAACGTTCCCAGTCCGATCCTCCTTGCCCTCCGGCCTCCTCCTGCCCCTGCTCCGCCAGGCCCTCGAGCCCGGGGGGCGGGCGGCCAGCGCCGGGGACCCTGGCGGACGACGGCCGACCAGGGCTGGCCAGGACGGCCTCCGTCGACGTCGCCAGCCTCCTCTCAGGCGATCGCAAACATGGATTAACTGGGCGTGGATCAGCGATGGGTCCCGTTTCCATGGGAAATCGCGGATTTCCGCCGCTGAACGGGGCGGCACCGGCCGCATTTTGGGGAGGGCACCTCCCCCGATCCGTGGATCTGGCGACCGCGCGCCAAAGCCATGTTTGCGCGCCCCCGATCCTCGGCACCTGCTCTCGGTGCAATTTAAGTGGGTACGGAGACAAGGGGTGCAAAGTCCCCTACAACAGTTCTTGCTCATTCTGGTCCGGGTTCTCCGGCGGCGTCGCGGCGGTCGCTGTGCATTTGCTGCGGGATGCCGCCTGCCCCACTGCGGCCGCTCTTGGTGTTGGACAGCGTTTCCTGTGCGGCATCTTACTCATTTTTTTCGTACCCACTTCGGATGTCCAGATGCTGTTGCTATAACCCAGAACTCTCTTCCGCCTCCTCTTGTCCTTCTCGCACCGCTTTCTTCTTCCCGACTTCTCAGGGGCAACGTGACGGGCGGATAGGTTGAGGGGGGGACGGCTCGACCCCCAATCGCCCATTCATCGCCGATGGGGACCCAATAGCCCAGCCCGCCTGGGCTGGGACCGCGCGGCTTTGCCATCGGGGGCCTGTCGCCGATCCATCGGCGATGCGTTGCCGATCGCAGCTCGGCGTTTCCCCCCTGAGCCGGTCCCCCCTCCAGTCCTTGCCCTTCGACTCCCCCGAGCTTCGAAGCCCGCAGCGAGGCACGGAGTGGAACTCGAGGAGGGCTACGATGGGGGGGCGACCGAGGGGGGCGATCGAGGGGGGGTGAAGCACGGTGCACTCTTCGTGCACCTTCGGGGCCCTGATCGGGCCCCCCCTTGAGGCCCCAAGGTGCACGAGGGGTGCGCGTTCTTTTGTCCCCCCGTTGATTTCCCCCTCCATGGGCAACGCCCGAGCGAGAGTTGAAGGTGCCTTCTCCCCCCTCTGCGCTTCCTTACTTCCTTCACGGACAATTCCCCTGACCAATATCCATGGTAGTAGAAGGCTTCGCTAGGTGTTGTGAGCACCGCATCGCTGCCCCCCATCCCCCATCTGAACACCACACATACATTTGGTTCGCTTCGAGCGATCCCCACCCGAGAACCGGGCCCATTAGGGGGTTGGCGGCCGCGGCACGCGGTCGTTGTCCGTCGAAGACGCGAGGCGAGATACCCACTGATCACCAGGATCCCTTTCGGGCCTCGTGGCCGCGGTACGACATGCAGGGCGTGCTAGGCGGGTCGGGAGCTCTTGCCCCTAAATCTATCATCTCCAACTTGTCGGTTTCTCCTCCTCTTCCTCTTCGTCCTCCTCCTCCTCCTCCTCCTCTTCGTCCTCCTCATCTCCTCATCCGTCGTCCACCTCGGTCCTCCCCGCCCTCCGTCCCTGCCTCCTCCTTGTCATTGCTCTCCTCCCCCACTCTGTCCTCATTTCTCGTCTCTCACTGCCTCTCCCTCATCTTCCTCTCTCCAGCATCCTCTGGTGCTCCGCTCTTCTTCCTACTCACCCTCCTGCCCTTCTCGCCCTCTCTCTCATTTTTTGTTTTTCTCTCTCTCTCTCTCTTTCCTCAGGGGTTTGGAGAGGGGTGTGCTATAAAGGGGTGTGGTGCCAACGCTGAAAATGCCAACGCTTGGCTCCAGGGGGGCCCAAGGCTCTGAGTCTCTAAGGCAAGCAGGCCTTAGGCATCTAGCCCCCAGGACTCCACCACTTAGTCTGTCCACGAACCTCCCAGGACATTCATGGCGCAGCTCAAGGACATCCAGACTCTGCTGGACACCGGTTTTGGAAAGTTGCGTCAGGATCTGAAGGGCGACATCATGAGGGAGATGGAGCAGCTGCTCGACACCAAACTCGAAGCCCGACTCAAGCAGCATCATGATGAACTTATGGAGGAGATCCGGAAGCTCCAGGAGAGAACCACGGCCTTGGAATCTCGAGCTGACGCAGGTGGCGTTGGCTCCAAGCGTGCACGCAGCGAAGGTCCTGGCTACCGGGCAACGCGCATCGACGACGACTCCGACAACAAAGTCCTCGTGCTCAAAGGCTTCCCATGTCCCATGTGGTCCAAGACGCTGGTCAAGCATGCTGAAACTGTCTTCCAGTCGCTTTCACCGAACACTCCGCTCCCCCAAATCCGCGCCGCCAGCAACACCAAGCACGCGCGCCTCATCTTCAACGACTCCGCTTCGGCGAAGGCCATCCTCGAAGAGTCCATCCGCGCTGGCCCACGGATTACTATTGGTTCGGAATCTATTCCACTTTCGCTTCAATGGGACCGGTCACCCGATGAACGCGTCCGGGGATGGGTAATCTCACAGTTATGGCAGAAGTTGGAGCAGCACATGACTACAAAAGGCCTCCACGGCCAGGTCGGGTGTCGACGTGGCAAGGGTGAGGTGTTCGTCGACGTTGGCGGCATGGGGCAGCTGATCACGATCTTCACGGTTCTCGAAGACGGCGTCTCCACCCGCGTGCACACCAACGGGCTCGACAAGGTGGAGCTTTCCCCAGAGACGGCGGCCTCGATGGCCTCCGAGGTGGATTCGCAGCGGCGTTCACGCTGATGGCGCCCACGGCGGCGTGACGATGCAGAAGAGCATGATGACATGCATCTTCCGGCATGGCCGGAGAATTCGACTAATTTATCGGGATCTGTGCACGCATCCTCCACTTCTTTCTCAATTCCTTCTGCGCCGGGGGCCTCGTGTTCATCGACGCGGGCACGCAGAGGGAGCGACGCGACTCCTCAGGCACGCTCTCCGGGACAAGCTCCGACAGCCACGTGTTCTTCAACGCGTCCGCTCAGAGAGCAGGGAGCTTTGCCTTTTGACCCTCTTCCTCCTACTTCTCGTTCTTCTTCCCGTGCTGCCTACTCCAACTATTTCTCGGGCGACCTCTCCGGGTGCGTCTGGAATGCACGGGGCCTGTGTTGCGTGGGCCCGCAACGCAGGAAACTCAAATCCAGGTACGCCGTAAACCTCGCCTACCGCCACGACTTCACCATTTTCCTCGAGGCCCATTCTGCCCAGAAGAGAAGCAGAACTCTTGAGCGGAAGCTTTGTGGGGACCATCGTTTCTTCTGGCGTGACTCTGACGCTGCCCCGAATGCTGGGGGGATCGGGATTGCGGTCAAGAGCACCTTCCTCGCCGACTTCCCAGAGATCAACTTCAATCCACGTATCGTTGGTCGACTCTGTACTCTGTCTCTGCTTGGGTCGCGGGGGCATCTGGTGATATGTGGTGTGCATGTTGAGGGAGACCGGCAGCAGCTACTAGAAGAATTGTCTTCGGTGGTTCGTACCTATTCTGAGGCCACTCTCATTCTTCTTGGGGACTTCAATTCGGTTGCATGCGAGTCCGACCGGTTTGATGCCACCACTGGTACCTTCACTGGCACCGTCGTACGGGACACCTTTGACACGCTGCCATGTCTTGAACTGCTCACCGAGCTGATGCAGGACGATTTCACGAGGAAAGGGGTTGATGCTGCAGGACATCTTCAGTACAGCCGGATCGACCGCATATTTACATCGCTACCGAGCTCTCTCCTAAGCAATCTTGACGTTCGCGTTGCCTCTCCTGGACTTGCCGCGCTCCCCCGCTTCGACTTGAGCGACCACACTCCCGTCTTCTTCACTTGGCGGCAGCGTAGCAGCTCAACTCGATCCCCAATTATTCCAAGTTGGGTACCTCGGCACCCACTGTGGGGCATCGTGCTTGATGAGCTCCGCTTTGCACAGACTGCCGACAAATGGGGCGATGAGGTCGAGATGAAGCGCCTCTTCCACAAGGCCAGCTCCGAGGTCAAACGTAGGGCTCAACACCATGGTGCCCGCACCTCCGAGGAGAAGCTTTGGTGGTGTCTGAAATTTCTTCGCTCTGTGCACAACGGTTGTATTCAGCAGGCCCTCTCTGCAGCCGGCGTCTGCTCCGACCTCCAGGACATTCCTGGCAACTGCTGCCCCTCGAGCTGGACTCATTCAGTGCTCTCTCAAGTGGAGTCCTTCATTCAGCGCCTCAGCCAGGCGACGGCCGAGGAGCGACTGCAGGAGCTGGAGGACACTGCCGACCTCCCGGAGTTCTACAAGAGCCGGAAGCGGTCTGGACTCATAGCGTGGGCTGCTCAGTTTTCACCGAAGCGCCGGCGTGCAGGCCTCCGAGGTCTCATCGACAACAAAGGTCTCCCAATTACCGATAATACGGTCGCTCATGCTGCCGTTGCTGACTACTGGGGTCCAGTTTTCACCGCGCAGCCTGTCGATGAGCAGGCAGGCAAAATCTTTCTGGACAAGTACGCTGTGCAGCTGCCGCGCCTTCAATGGGATATTTCGTTCGACGACTTCTCCAAGCTTCTCTCTGGCTTCACCGACTCAGCCCCTGGGCCCGATGGCGTGCCCTACGGCGCTTGGCGGCATGCGCCCGAATGGTGCCAACGTGTGCTGTATTCTGCCTTGCTTTCATGGCTGGCCGGCGCGCCGCTACCTCGCGATGCCAACTATGCGTGGCTTGCCCTGCTTGCTAAAGGTCACGATCTAGCCTCGGGCCCCGCGGGCTTCCGCACCGTGCCCGACGCGCGCCCGCTGTCACTGGGCAACTCTGATGTCAAGATACTTGCTGCTTCAATCAACCGGATTCTGGAGCCCGCGGTAGGCAAATGGGCCTCTGACCCACAGCGCGGATTTATCAAAGGCCGGCAAATGCTCGACAACGTCATCGAGGTGGAGACCCATATGGCCACCGCAGCTTTAGCTAGAGATTCGCAGGAACCCGGTCAGCCGGCAGCATGGCCTAGCAGTCCGTGCCCAGCTTGTCTGCTGAACGACTTCGGCGCCGCATTTCCGAGCTTGTCTTTAGCTTTTCTGTGGATGACGTTGGAAGCGATCGGAATTCCAGTGTCCATCATCACGGCCGTGCAGCAGCTATATCGTGGGAACGCACATTTTTGGCGATTTGGCGGGATAATAACTGAAGTTTTCACCATTACTTCTGGGGTGAAGCAAGGTTGCCCCCTCAGCCCTACGCTGTTCGTTATAGCAATTGACGCATTTCTTCGAGCACTGGTTCATAACTTGGGCGACCGCTGCCTAGTGCGGGCTTTTGCCGACGACATCGCCATCATACTGGGGAGGTTGTGGATTGACGGGCCTGTCGCAGCATTCCTTTTCAACGAGTTCGCACGCATTTCGAATCTCAAGAGCAAGCCTCGGGAATGTGTGATCATTCCCTTGTGGCCGATTTCTTTGGAACGCTTCGCACGGCTTCTCAAGGAAGAGATTCCTCTCTGGGGCGAGTTATTGTGTGACTCTTCTGGCAAATACCTCGGTTTCTTCCTCGGTCCGGGAGCGGGCTCGTTATCTCTCTTGGCACCTATGCGCAAGTATGTGGGCAGAGTCCAGTACATCAAAGATCTTTCACTCGGCTTGCCTGCCACTGCATTGCTGTACAACTCCATCGCCATCAGCGTGCTGGGGTTCGTCTTGCAGCTGATCGAGCCGACCGCTGACTTCCTGAAGACCGAGCGTGCGATGCTTCGCAAACTGGTCGCTGGACCAGGGAACTGGCTGCCCCCGAAGTACGAATTCAATCTCGACCGGCTTGGGTTACCAGTGCCGTTTCGGTCTATGACGGCCTTGCATCTGGCTTCTGCGGGTAGGACCTTGTCTACTACATGCCCTGATTGGCGCGCCAGCTTCAGCTTATTGCAGCGCGTTGCTTTGAGTGACCATGCCCCGCTGCTGTGGAGGTGGCAATCGTGGCTTGATCGTTTGGCCGTCCGTGTTTTGGATCGTGCACAAACCCGGCTCAACACAATGGGAGTTTCATTGATTACGGTTCGCGGTGAGGCTAGGGCCGACCAAGCTGCGATTTACAAGCAATTGCATGGCCGCTTGTTTCCGGCGTGCCCTGTGCAGGCCATCCAAAGACGTCTGAAAAGGTGGAGTCACATTTTAGGACCGTCGAAACTGCGCGTCTGCGCGGAGTGTTCTGCAAGCAACATGTCCACGTTGCGACGACAGGTTCCTCCGTGTGTCCTCTCTGCCTGTATTCATACTCTTTTCAATGGCTGGACAACCGCACGGCGTTTTCAAAAGGAAGCCCCGTGCGTCTGCTGCAAGACCTCAGGGTCCGATTCGATCGAACATTATTGGTGTTGTCCGGTCTTCGTGGAGGCAGGCCGTCGCTATTTGCAGCTTGATTTGTCAAATTGGTCGCTCCGCCAGTTCTTACTTTGTTCCCCGTCTCACCCCTCTCACAAGGCCGTTTCACTCCATGTGTATAGCTGTTACACAACTCATGCTTACCTTCGGCATCAGAGCGCTGGGGACAATGCGCTTTGGGTGTACCGGTCTCAGTTGCGTGGCGTGCAGGAGCGAATGCGATTTCTGACGCCCGGGAGGGCGCGGGGGAAATTCCGTACAAAACGACCGTTTTGTACAGAATTTCCCCCCTGGCGTTTTCAACGAGTCTGTTGGATACGTCTTGAAGAGAATTCGTATCATTGGCTATCTGGGTTTTCCTCTGTCTCCTCCTCCTCCTTCCCCCTTGTCTGCACGAGTTTGCGGTCAGAATTTCGGCCACGTTCGCAGGACAACCCTGCTGCTTGTGCAGGTTCTTCGCGAGTGTTACGTTCTACCCGAGTCCGGGGCCATTGCTGCTTTTTTTCTGCCTCTAGTGCTCCTGGTCGTGTTCGTTCGGGTTCGCGGTTTGGAAAGTCCCCTTGAGGGACAGCGGATTCCTCCTTCTCCCCTGCTTGTTCGCCTTGAAAAAAATGTTTACGATAGCCGCAAGTGCGTTGCGTTGCGATTTTAACAACGTTGGTTTTGCGCCGGTCGCTTCAAGCAACGTCATAATTCCAAACGCCAGCTTCCCCAAACGTCCGCAGTACTATATGATCGGTCGCATAATCATATTTTCCAGGGCGCCGATTACCAAGCACGCAAGTCGGGTAACTCCGAATCGCGAAAGGCGTGATTCTGGAATTTCGTATCGCCAATCACCTCATCCGGGAACGTCCAGAATGTACAACTACTATTGTCCTTGTACAAACCGTTATTCGGGAAAATCCAGAAGGACGTTTCGGAAATTTCGTAACGGCAGCAATGAGTTCCGTACATTCCAGAAATTTTGGAATCGCACGCTTGGTGATAAGGCGTCATGGAATTGTTTTTGTTTCGTCGCCGTTCAGAGTCAGGGAAGTTGTTTGAAGCGGTCAGCGCCAACGTTGTTGACTTCGTAGTGCGACGCTCTTGCGGCTATCGTAGATACTATGTTTTTTTCCAGCATTGGCACTTTGCCTCTTTATGCAACATCCCGTACCTCTCTCTCTCTCTCTCTTCCTATGTTTCTCTTTCTTATTTCCCCTTCCCTCCGTTCACCCTCCCTCCTCCCTCAATGTTGTCCTCCTCGTCCTCCTGGCTTCTCCTCGCCTCCTGCCCTCCCCATCACATTTTTCCTGGTATTCCTACTCTCCTCTCTCCCTTTTCCTCCTCACCTGCACCCCTCCTCCCGCCACCCCTTCCCTCGTCGTCGTTGTCGTCGTCGTCGTCCTCCTACTTCTCCTCTCCCTCCCCCTCCTCCTCCTCCTGCTTCTCATCACTCTTGTCCTCCTCGCCTCCCCGACCTCCCACCTGGAAGAGGAGTAGGACAAGGAGAAGGAGGAGGAATGGTAGGAGTAGGACGAGGAGGAGGAGGAGCAGGAGGAGCAGGAGGAGGAGGAGGAAGACGAAGGATAATCATGCTAATAGTGGTAGAAAGAAACATAACATTTAGTACAACGAATAATACTAAGACGAAGACGACTAATAATACGACTACGGTGAATAATACTACGAAGAAGGCGAAAGCGAATCAGCAAACCAATACCACGATTAATGCCAGTACTACTCATATTACAACTACTACACATGCGCCTGATGATAAGATGGCGACAGCGACTATTTCGACCCATGTGATTCATCACACGTAGACGAATCGTACTAAGACGACGGATCATACGAATACTATTGAGACTGTTCTACTAAGACGACTAAGAAGACGACGAACACTACTATTAAGGCCAATCGTAGTATTGCGACTGAAAAACCAACAACTGCTCATCATACCCAGAACTTTAAGACGAGCACTACTAACAACACTCAGAAACATGACACCACTGTTGATACTAATACCACTACACATGAAACTAGTAGCAGTACGGATAGGACGAATACGGCAAACATTACGACGACTAATACTGTTACGGCTACTCATAGCTTTTCCTAAGCATACGCTTAATATTGCTAATATTAACACGCTTACTCTTCTACTGCAGCAACACATACGGCTGCTAGTACTACTATGAATAAGCATATTTGTATTAATACGACTATCATGAGGATGTGTAGGCGGACGAGGAGGAAACGGATGCTGATGATGATGTTGCTGCTGATGATGATGAGGTTGTTGTTGTTGCTGATGATGATGCTGATGCTGATGCTGATGCTGATGCTGACGATGATGATGATGCTGCTGATGATGATGCTGATGATGATGATGATGCTGATGCTGATGATGATGATGATGATGATGCTGATGATGATGATGCTGATGATGATGATGATGATGCTGCTGATGATGATGCTGATGATGATGATGATGATGATGATGCTGATGCTGATGATGATGATGATGATGATGATGATGATGAGTGATGCTGATGATGATGATGATGATGATGATGATGATGATGATGATGATGATGATGATGATGATTGATGATGATGATGATGAGGATGATGATGATGCTGCTGATGATGCTGATGATGGGAGGAGGAGGAGGAGGAGGAGGAGAGGAGGAGGAGAGGAGGAGGAGGAGGAGCGGGAGGAGGAGGAGGAGGAGGAGGAGGAGGAGGAAGGAAGGAGAGGAAGAGCGAGGGGGAGGAGGAGGAGGAGGAGGAGGAGGAGGAGGAGGAGGAGGAGAGGAGGAGGAGGAGGAGGAGGAGCGGAGGAGGAGGAGGAGGAGGAGAGGAGGAGGAGAGGGAGGAGGAGAAGGAGGGGAGGATGGGGAGGAGGGAGGAGGAGGAGGAGGAGGAGGAGGAGAAGGGAGGAGGAGGATGAGGATGGCAGGAGGAGGAGGAGCAGAGGAGCGAGGAGAGGAGGGGGAGGAAGAGGAGGAGAGGAGGAGGAGGAGGAGGAGGAGGAGGAGGAGGAGGAGGAGGAGGAGGAGGAGGAGGCGGAGGCCTCGTCCTACCCCTCCGCGAGGACTCCTTCCTGGAGGGGCGAGCGCGAGCACCCCGCCAGGGAGAGCGGCAGCCCCGCCATGTCCCGGGTGAGCTCCAGCTCGGCCTGCGGCAAGGACGGCTTGGGTCGTCGTTGTCGTCGTCGTCGTCGTCGTCGTCGTCGTCGTCGTCGACGTCGTCGTCGTCGTCGTCGTCGTCGTCGTCGTCGTCGTCGTCACCGTCGTCGTCGTGGTCGTCGTCGTCGTCGTCGTCGTCGTCGTCGTCCTCGCCGTCGTCCCCGTCGTCGTCGGGGAGAAGGAGGAGGGGGAGTCGGGAGGATGGGAGGAGAAAGGGAGAGGACGAGGAGAGGAGAGGGAGAGGAGAGGAGAGGAGAGGAGGAGGAGAGGGAGGAGAGGAAGGAGGCGGAGGAGGAGGAGGAGGAGGAGGGAGGAGGAGGAGGAGGAGGGGAGGAGGTGAGGAGGACGAGGAGGAGGATGGAGAAGGAGGAGGCCGGGCGAGAA